AAAAAAAGCCCATCCTTTCTATCTAAAGATTACTGACCGCTTTAATCAGTAACAGACATTGGCCAGTGAACTCAGGTATCTCAATGGACAACTAGCCAATGATCGATGTCTCACGATTACAGCGTAAAGTAACTGCCTTACCAATTTATCCAGGTGCCTCGCGTATAATGTGGAAAAAGGAAGGATGGGCAAAAGTCATGTGGAATGAAATCATAAATGACCGAGGAAAATGTGTGAATGGAATGTCATGGATGTCAGAGGGCTCTTCTAGGAAATTAGATGAGATGTTTGTCACTGCCAGGGAATGAAATGCACAAGTAACCCTTCCATCAGCCATGGATAGTATTGACATTGCAAATGAAATCCTGCGACAAAGAATCAATTGAAAAATGGACGTCTGACACTTAAAAAAACACACTTTTCTTGTTTTAAACACATCCTCACACCCCCAAGAATCTCAACAAAGACACATTTATGTCTCTGTATGCAAGTTTGTGTGGGTACTCCACTGAAGCGGCTCCAGCATGCGCAGAACTCTCCCGAAGCTATCCGGCAAAGGTTTCGAAAACTCCATTATCTTCTGGTAATTGAAAATGATGTGTACTAAAATTTTGGTTCTACCACTAGCTAGAATACATTTTGATACTTCATAATTCATGTCCTTGTCACCTAAATACATAAGAAAAGAGTTGCAATCTCACATAAGGGTTACCTGATTATAAATCAGTTACTACTTCACACCAAAATTTATTTATTTATTCATTATTTTGGGTAATGAAGTACCAAGAGTGTAGCTTTCCCGGTATTTAATCCTCGTGGTGTGGCACCTGGCAAGTCTTTGAAGCTCTCATATAACAATAAAAACGGTAACAGCGACTGGATGACAGAGCTCTATGTCATGAAACTTGAGTACAGAGGAAAAAACTACTTTTCCCTCAAAACACAGTGCATGCAAATTGTAAATGTTGTAGTCATATGTTGCCCCAATGTGAATACACGAAGTGATTGATTGTGTTAGTTGCTGGAAAAATAAATTACCTTTAGTGGTACTGCCGTACTGAAATAAAAACAAGCATTCAGTGTATCGCTACCCATCAATTGACTTACATTTTGAAATTTTGATGCCATTGAAATAACTATAAGTTTCATATTAAATCACCTCAACACTCAATCAATTTCTAGATTTATAGGTCTAAAAGGAGCATGTTAGTCAGTCACCAAACTTCCCTAGCTCAAAAGGTTGGGCAAAAGAAATTCAAAAGGCACATTTGGAAGTAACTGCATCTTTCCATCACTGATAAACATGTTACTTAAGAACACAAGTGCATAGTTATACCAAACAAAAAAAAAGTTGAGGGCAATAAGACTTACCCGACTTCATATCAACCCTATCAACCTTCCCATATCTTTTGAAAAGACGTTCGAGTTCCGACTGCCGAGCATCATAATCAAAATTCCCACAGAAAATCGACCTCATTTCACCTCAACTCTGATATTCAACGACCTCTAGATGTAAAAAAAACAAAAGAATTCAAATTTACATATATCAAGCTAGATTCATTTGTTTACAGTCTGCAGTGCCAGATCTATATAAAGACCCACAACAAAGTGATGATCCAGCATACTGTTCACCTCATTAAAAACAATCGAACCAAAATCCAACTCACAAATTGGATGATTTTCAGTTAATACGAACAGCTACAAGTAAAAATCTCAATACTACAAGTAAAAATAACGAATCAAGGAATCAATGAAACAAAAACTCCATAGATGCAGAAAAAAAACAGATCTGAGACGAGATAATCTCACAGACTGAGAAGACGATGATTTACTGCAAAAAAAAAAAAAAAACGCTTAATAAAAGTGACGAACGGCATACCTTCGAAATGTTGAAACCCTAGCTGTCGCGAGGTCGATGGCGGAGACAAATCGCTCTCTCTATAATGAATTGTCAGCTAAATACGAGTGCGTAATAATTGTATCAAGATGGAGCCGTGTAGGGTTAAATTGGTCTTCTAGATGTCCAAAACAGTTTTGTTTTCGGATCGGGTCGGGCACTTCTTTGAGTGAAATTACTATATTTTTTTTTTTTTTACAAAGAAATAGGTTAGAACGCTTAAAACGGATGCAAATTAAACGACTACGCTACGCACTCATAATATCATGGTTCAACCAAACATTTAAACTCATTGGAGGTGCTTAAAAAATGTGAAGTCCTCCCGGACTGGATGACGCCAAAGACTCCATGTGATCAATCACAACGTTAGATTCATGACAATTGACAAACATGTCGCAAATCAACATCTCAATTCCTCTCTAGCAGCTCACGGATACCCTGGATTATATTACCATGCAACCCCGAAATCTCTCCAACACTCAAAACCATCTTACAGGAAGCTTGACTGTCCACTTCCGCCACTACTCTACGAAACCCGGAATTCTAAGCTAAGTGCAAGCCTTGAAATATTCCCCATAGCGCAACACCCGTAATCGTTGAGAAACCAATATAAAATGATAAAACCTCCAAGCCAATGCCCAGCATGATCATGAATCAAATCTCCAGCACTAGCCATTCAAGAGCTATAGTTAAAGGTCCCGCTAGACAGTTTACTACAAAATCGGCGTATACTGCTTTGTCTGTTCGTTGGATTGTTGGCGATTTTTGGTTGTGAAAAAAGGTTGAATTAAAATTAACAGTTTTTTACTTATAATTAAATGCTTATATGGGTATTATTTTATTATAAAATATGTGGTCATTATTAAATATTACTGTTGGTATGACTCATATATTGACAAAGGAAGGAGGCAGACTGATGTCTGCGAGCGTAACGGAGCGAGCGTAGCGAGGGAAGCAGAGCGACCGAGCAAAGCGACCGGAGTGGAGCGAGGTATTTAAGTAAATTAATACCTTGTAGGGTTATGATATAAATACATGGTGTATTGATGTATTGAGTACGATTCATAATAAAATATATCCCTCAGCCGGCGTGGACGTAGGCATATTGCCGAACCACGTAAATCTTGTGTTGTTTACTTTCTCGTTTTTAATTCGTATACCATATTGTCATCTTCTCTCAACAATTACAACCACTTGTTACACATTAATAAGAATGTATTTTTAAGACATAAAAATATAACGTTACTTTAATTATATATCGGTCTAGTGATTTCCTAACTAAGTGTCTAGTTGAATTTTCAAATTTTTGGATGTTGATTTTTGCTTCACTTTGTGTGAATTATATATTTTAACTCTACTAATTTTAAAGAAAACATTTATTTAATAAGTTATCGTCAACAAATAAAATGCAATGCTATGAATATTCCATTAATGTAACATTTTCAACCAAAAACATATTTCGTTATAAATTACAATGCAATGCTATGAATATTTCAATTAATGTAACATTTTGAACCAAAATTTTATTTTTGTTATAAATTCTAAACGTCGAGCTTGAATTATAAATACATAAAAATTACAATTTTTTTTTTTAGTTTTTTTAAAACTTTGATGTGATACGGATTCGAAATATCTAAAAAAAAATAAAAATAAAAATTATCTACATATTTAAAATGAGCATTACAACTTAAGATCAATATTTAACATTAGATATCGAAGCACCCAGGTTAAAATTCCCACTGTATCCACTGACACGTAATTGAATCAAACAAACTTTCATCCCATAATGGTCATTTTAGCATGATACACAAATTGTGCTACTTAAAATACAGTTTGGCAAACATTCATTAATCTTTCTCATTATAAATAGGAAAATGCTATGGTCTCGTTACGTAACCATCATGTCGGGAGTTTTAACCGTTAGATCATCTATAATATAACCGAAACCAACATCTCAAATTTACCTACATTCGTTAACTTTGGTTCCTCACCTCGTTTTCGACAGGGTGCACAGTATTTTTCAATCAGTGTTATTCAATAATGGACTGTATTTTAGATGTAGGTGAAATATTATTTACATTAGATATACAAGCGAATTATGCTCGATAGCTTCGACTTATACAACTGTGTCAAACACCGTTGTATTTTCAGTGAGCAGTACATTGAAGCTCATAACCATGAGTCCATGTGGTAAGAAAGCATTACATATTGCAAAACCTGGGAAAAAATCTAAAAGACAAATTCCAGTTTACGGTGCATTAAACCAAAAACAGACCAAGAGGACCTAAAGATTGCTCCACAGTCCATTTGGATGATAAACAGAAAGAAACCCAAAACAGTAAGGCATCCGAAATAAACACATTAGTTGCGATAATAATTAAAAAAAAAAAAAAAAAAGAATGAAAAAAGGGAAAAAGAGGCTACTTTTGCTTCTTCATGAGGATGGAGGTTCGAAACACGCTGTCATCCCGAACGAAGCTCCACCACAAGTAAGTAAGAGGGACTGTTGATGCATGCCAAAGAGCATGAGCATCAACGAATCCCTTGTATGGAGGGAAGTCATATATCTCTAGGAGCATGGCAAATGCTCCTCCAATCACGACTACCCACAATTTCAAACGGGAAGGGTGATTAGTGAAGCCCGCCCAAATTGCCCACACGGCAATCTGGACTATACCCATTGCCACACATACTATCATGTTCCATCCTGCAGAGTTACACACATCAAGATTAGTCCCCGGAATATTTGACGCCATTTGACTCCATAGATTCTTTCATTATTGTCTAGCTTAAATGCATAATGGAACTTGGCTCTATGTCTATCCTTGCAGGGCATCAGCAAATTCTGATAGTAGCTTATGCTACATCTTCCTTAAATATTAAAAGGGTATCGTGAACTTTCGTGTCACTTTTCGAATCACTGCCAACATATATCTTGCATACCCAAACAAAAAAATTAAAAAAAAAAAAAAAAAATAGAATACATAAATCTTGTTTTCAAAAACCTTAGAATATAAAATTGGAGAAAGTTCAGTAACTTTTCATTGTGATAATTAAATATATTTTATTTTTCAAACGTATAAACACCCCCTTAGAGTGTTATGTACCCGTCTTTACTAACAAATATCCTTATCAGTATCAAAGGGAAAGATCAAGAATTATTTGTTGACTTTTGGACTGAGGTTTTTAAAAATAAATGAAAAAATGGGGTAGCATTTTTAGTCAACCTTGTTCCAAATAAAAATATAATACATGTAACATTAGTCCACGCAACCAGATATAGCAACCAAAATGGTCACACTGCTATATATTCTCTTACTAGTATGCATGCAAGTAATAAGTTGTAGCTAAAGACGGTATACCAACAATTTAATGCAACTCCAAAAAAGTAGAGTATGTAGGGGGAGACTTACCATAGTCAAGTTGATAGAAATTTAAATACAAGATATGGGTTGTCACAAAAGCAAGTAATGGGGCAGCAATCATGACCCTGGCAGCCTCAAGTCTCACATTGAAAGCTCGTATTATGGCCAGAATGAGAGAATATCCAAGCAATGCCACGGCAGATGAGTAATCCAGTTTCTCAGTCAAATCAACATCTCTGCATATCATTTCAAAATTTGAAATTCGGATTGAAACCGAGCAGAAAATTGTGCAAAAAGCAGTTATTCCCCACAAAGATACTATAGACAATCTTCTAAATACATAAAGGAACAAGTTCAGATGCTATTTATTACAAAGGAAGAAATGATGAGCTATTTATTACATTATATAACTTGTATAAAAGCATAAAATGGCATTGAATGATTAGAATAACTTTGCAAACAGAAGAACAAGAGAGAAAAACAAGGAAAATGAGGAAGTCATGATGCGCACCGACTGTGGAAAACTGCACTCCAGATCCACGCGTTCATAGCAAAGATTGCATATATGTGCCACAAGCCTGTGTACTCATAATATGTCTTCTTATTTTGCTTAAAAGGCAGTTTGTAGTTCACAAGGATGAAAAAAGATACCCATCCATGAAAATGTACAGCAAGATTTAATGCCGAGAAAGCCACAGAAACTGGTTCCTGATTATAATTTGAAACGGTCACTGACAATAAAATGAATAAAAAAAAAATGGTAACATGATCTGATCGAGCCTAGACCTCATTTTTTTCCCCCTTTTACTCTACCTGGATTCCGAAAATGCGCTTAAATGGCCACTTCCCATGGTACTTTACAGGCCTGTAGCCAAGTTTTTGTCTTTCATCTTCTCGAGAGAACATACAATGATAACGACAGTCACCACGGCAGTCCCATTGCTTCCACTGTACATAAAGTGGCTCCTGCAGATACCACGGCCCATCAACGGGAGTTCCATCAGATGAAAAATTACAGTGTTGAAAGCATTTGTTGCCCACACAACCTGTTTTTTCACATTCTTCAAGACAAGACCTAGCAATAACATTGAATTTCAAGGAGTTAAAAGGGTCTGTCTAGTGAAGCCGCATGACGACACATCTGCCTTTAGAAACCAAAACAGTGGGATAATGAAATTTTTCTTATAAAATTAACCAATATCATCAAATCATAAAATATTACATATGGCATTGTAACACTAGATCAAATAATAACACTAGATCAAATAATGTTGCGGCTGACATAAACTACCAACCCGAATAAGAATGAATATCATTTGTTTGTCTTACTAAAGAAGTCCTTGAAAACCCTGTTATTCACAAAATAGGGGCATGTGGGAGGGATTTTTGATAAGGATTAGATGCAGAAGAAGGGAAACACAATAAGGGCAAGGATATTTTTGTTTTTCACAAAATCCGTTCGATAAAGGAGTACAGTTATCGCTACTATAGTAAAAAGACACCCAATCCGAAGTCTCTCAAGAGAAAATTCCGATCATATAGCTGACAAAGAGCTAACTTAATCCAACTAAGAACCAAATCAAATCGACACCGGCATGCAGCAAAAGAACAAGCCTTGACATGAGGGCACACTAAAGATTAAGCATATAACTTTTCCTGGTCAATTGAGGAACATAACAGTGCAAGAGCTATTAGTATGGAAATAAGTAGACTATGTAACAGGCAACAGAGAAATCCAATTTTTGGCAACTCAAACATATCCCGATCAATCAATATTTCAACTACAACCTCAATCGACCAAAAAAAATCAAACCTTCAACCCTTATCTCAGAAAATTAACCTAGCTAGCTGAAACCAAAGCTTACTTGTAAATCGGATCGGCATCGCCGGGGCTCGCTTCGAGAAATCCGGCAAAGCACGAGAGCGCAACCAGAACAAGAACGAAAGGGCGCCGTGCCATCAGGTTCGATCTTACAAAAACAACGCAGGAGACCAAGCAAAATAAAAATCCAAGAAAATTTGCTGGGTGGGTTGTGAGCTTGAGCTTTTGCGCTTGCGAGCAAACAACGATGGGGATTTGATTTCACCAACTTCCCTTTAAACTCGGGAAGAAGAATACAGCTAGACTATAAAATCGACAGATGCAAGTGATTGTGGACATGGATTTTACTGATGCTAAGGTGTTCTTCCCTTTTGGGTTGTGCGAGAGGGATTCGTTGATGGACGAGAAAGGTGGGGTTGTACGGTGGAGCTTTGAAGTACAAGTACACCTGCAAGCTCCTCTCCGGTTCGTTTCGGTCCAGTGCTTTACATTTGGGCTCAATAAACCTACTTTTAAAGAGAGAATTTATCTATTACTACCTCCTATTCATTTTAAATGTCATTTTGACATTATCTACTACTAGTATTCATCCTGTGCACATGCACAAAAAAAAATAAAAATTTATATATTATATTTATGTATACAATATATACAAATTTTATATTTAATAATTGATGTATTACTTTTTAAATTTGGACTACATGCAAATGTGTAATGTAAATATAATTTATTTAAATTACGTATGAATCTTTATATTGATGCCATAAATTTTAATGGCTAATATAATTTAGTAATTTAGAGAGACCATACAATTAATTAGTTAGAAAGTATTACAATTATTTTTATCATTGTTATAGCATTTGTTTATGTGATTTTAAGGTGTTTAATTATGACACTCATGCCAATTAACTTATTAGATAAAAATCGCTTAAAAAGAAAAAAAATATTTTATTTTAGAAAAAGTATTTTAAAGAAAAAAATTGCAATACAATTTTTTATAGGTATGTAACTTCCACATACTATTTAATGTAAAATTGTAATCAATTAGTGTTAGTAGTGAATAAATTATATTAAAATTATTATTACACCTTATTAATGTAAAATGTAACGGTTCTACATTAATTGAAAAAATGAGCGGGAAAATGAATGGAGGTTTTATTAAATGTTTTATTAAATTCTATATGCCAGCAATTATATATACTAGTTATCATCCTGTGTACATGCACAGATGTACATAAAATATTATAAGTAATATGTGTGAATTTAATATAAAAATTACAGGTGATAAACATTTCACATTTTCAAGATATGTGAATTTAATATTAAAATTCTAGATAATAAACATATCACATTTTCAAGATATGTGAATTTTATATTAAAATTCTAGATAATAGACATACCACATTTTCAAGATTTAATCATTAGTAAAAATAAAATAATATTTAAATTATTTGAGTACATATGAATCATTATATTGATTAAAAAAATTGGATAATGTAATTTTTATAATTTGGAGGAATTACGGTCAAATAATTTACATGAAAACTTTATTAGTATTATTATTATTATAATTATAATTAATATTATTATTACTATTCTTATTTAATTTTAAAGTTTTTTGTACTATAGTATTAAAACTATTTACTAATTGTTTCTAAAGAAAATTGTTTCATGAAATACAAAATTAAAATAATAATAATAATAATAATAATAATAATAATAATAATATCATTCATAAAACCTAATTAAGTGTAATCATGTATTTATAAAACCTCATTTATTTTCCCTCCAAAAGAAGTTACAAAATTTGTCATTCATATTTTGCCTTTCACATTAATGCACCCTATTAAGTGCAATCATGTATTTTTTTGCTATTATATTATATAATTGCTAATCCTCTTACCAACTTAAAATATTTCACACTAAATATAAATTACATAAGTATAAATAATTTTATTGTTTCAAGATATTATTATTATTATTATTATTATTATTATTATTATTATTATTATTATTATTATTATAGTAGCTAGTGCTATTTTTTTGCTATTATATTATATAATAATTAATGCTATTAATTTTTTTACATGATTACACTTAATGGGGTGTATTAATGTGAAAGGTAAAATATGAATGAAAATTTTTGTAACTTCTTTTGGATGGAAAATAAATGAGGTTTTATTAATTAAGTTTTATTTATGAGGTTTTATTTAATGATTAGCTAGCAATTATATATATATATAGATATAGATTAACAAAATAAATGTCGTTTTAGATATTTTGTACATATTTTTTCATTATTACCCTCATTTATCTAATAAATACACTACGTTTTTTTCATATTCACTCTTCATCTTTTCTTAAAACATTCATCTCTATCCTCATTAATGAGGGTTATTATTGACAAAAAAAATGTTCTTAATAACTGTGCAACTTCTCAAAACGACACTTATTATGAATAGGAGGGAGTATATAATTAGACAACTCACTTTTTATTTTTAGTAAGTTTTTAGTGGGTCCTACAACAAATTTTCTATTTTTAGAAATTTAACTGTGTTGCCAGGTTTTACAAGCTTATTAATATTTTATTTGGAAGGTACGTTTTAAATTTTTCTTTTTGTTTAGAAAAAAGAGTTTAGTATGTATTTTTGTTGTTGTTGACTACCATGATTAAATAAATATTCATATGGAAAATGCAATGATGTATAATTTTCGGTTGTTCCACAACATAGTATGAGTAAATTCACTTTATAATTAAATATAAAATTAACCACTTATTAATCATTTTGTCATTTTTTTGTGATATTTTTGCAGCTCTTTTTCAACATATTTTTAATCAATTTCAAAATAGATTATTTTGTAGGTTTGAATTAATTCAAAACAAATTGATCCATCAATTTTCTTTTTGTTCAGTCAGATTATTAATAAATTTAATGGAGGTATAAAAATAATTGTTTATTTCATTCAATTTTTTTATTAGGGCTACGGTAGTTTATTTGAGTGGGCAACTACAATATAAACAGTTATTTGCAATGGATGAGTAACCGTTATGGTTCCATATTTAATTAACTAAATAAATTTATTCACAAGCAATTTAACCGTATATAGTTGTGGGTGAGAATTTTATATTTTATCACAAGTTTTATAATTTGTTTCATTGTTTGCTTTAAATTTCTTAAAAATGTATGACTGCATATTATAAGCAGTTTCAATTTTAATATATTAATTTTTACTTATATAAATTTTTTGTTTATTGAAGTTACAAAAGACTATAATTTTTCCACTTGCATTAACTGGTTTAGATCTGGACAGTTGATAAAATTAAAAAAATAAATTTTTCTATAGTAATTGTTTTTGTTAAATATATTGGAATGAAATGTTTGTTTCCCAATTTGTTTTAATTCGCTCTCAATTTGTTTCTTATGTAATTATTTTTTTATTTTTTTTATGTAAAGTTGCAATATGGCACACAACGTTGTGAGTTAACTACTTCGTGGGAATTTTTGTGTTGTAGTAATCATTTATTAAGGAAATTTTTTGCAAATTTAAAAAAATAAATTCATTAAGTCGAGCATATATTTTTAAGAAATGATTAATATTTTTGGACAAAATATAAAGTCATCGCCCGTGCAACAATCACTACGTCCACTCCAAAATGCAGTTGAGGATGTATAATTTTTTATCAACCTTTTATTTTGATTCTTATTCCAGGTGAATTAAATATTAATTGACATAATTTCATAAATTTCCTTGATGATTTTACTATGAAAAAGAAAAAAAAATAAATATCTTAATGTATATAATTTTTCAATGATATACTATGGTTATTTGTTATAGTACAACACAACCTTTATTTTTACTTATTACATAATTCATCTAAGTATTCTCGTGCAAATGCGCGGGCAACAACACTAGTTACAATTTACAACTGCACGAAAAAAAAAAGAGAGAACTACACCATGTTTCGAAAGTAGGATCTACCTCCCTTTAATTAATGGAATTTTTTACACTTGTGCTTTTACTGCTGCAACAAATTTAATTGCATATTTACCTGAACTACCAAATTAATTGGAGATATTTTTTAATTTAGTTACCATACAAAAAAAACTACCCCAAAAAAACTGCGGATGATATGTTACGAAGAATCCATCAGAAAGATCCCAAAATTCCGTCATCTTTCTCGGCAAGAAGGAGAGCCACCAGTTTTCTGGCCACGAGAAGGTCGTGCGCGCCGACGAGGAGAGCACCAGAAACCACGATTTCAGGTGAGGAGATTCGAGGGCACCCGAGATGCACAAAGTTTCGGCGAGTACCAAGAGCACTATATGTGGCGGTTCCTGATAGAGGTGAAGGGGGAAGCGAACTCGATGGCGGAGGGCGTCATCAACGGGCTAAAGCACGCACACTTGTTTCATAGACGGGGGATGAATCTGGAGGTGTTCTTCAAGTACTTGTTCGGGGATGCTAATCTGCTGCTGGATCCGAAAATTGATTAATTTTTCATTATTATTGTTATCGAGAGGCACAAGTTTTCAGTTTTGTTTTGTCTTCTTCCGCTTGTAGTTTAATTGTGACATCTCGACGGGGATTGAATCTCGAGTGTATATCTTAGGTATATTTTAAGTATATGAAGTTCTTATCTTAATTATATTTCTTTTTATCTATTAATTTGCATCTTTATACGGTCTAATCATACGACCAGCTCGCTTCCCTGGTGCAAGAGTAAGTGTAGTTAACAAACCACAACAACTATGATTATTAAGGTTAGTGTTTGTAGGTATTTTAATTCAAATACTACAAGTTAAATTATTAATTTTTTACTTATAATATTCAATGATATCAACCAAGTCATCTACACACAGTACCTCAACAAAATTTACTATTTATCAACTCTCATATTTGTAACTACTCATAACATTCAATCACACATCTCCTACTTTTACATCACACAAACTTTAATCATTATATTTTAAATATTATTTTAATACAGATTCAAAATTATTCTCAATCAACATTTTTTTTAAAAAAAAAAATTAACTAATTTTATTCTATAAATTAAATCTAAATAAAAAATTTTATTTTCAATCTATAATTCCAATGTTTATAAACCCTAGACTAGTGGGTTTTTGATTAAAATA